TAAAAAATTTAATTAATTACAAAAATTATAAAAAACATTTAAAATTAAATATATAACAGTCTGGGCCGTTAACAGTCGGCCCAGACTATTAACCCAGACTGTTAATAGTCGATTTACCCGACTGTTAACGGCCGGGAGCCGGGAATCGGCCGAAAATCGCCACTCCCGACGACTGAGCTCCAAAAAAAGCTAAAAATCAACATTTTTAACACTCCCAGCATGCCCACAATCTAACTACTCATGCCCATGGCTCTAATTAAACCGAAATTAATAAGGAAAATGCTAATTTTACTTATTCAATAAATTTTCTACTGAAACAAAAAGTGATGAAAACTAACCGGTTATTTTATTTCCGGTGTAGATGATGGTCGTTGACTGCGACGTTGGTGTAGTTGCCGGTGGTTGATCAGTCAAATTTCTGGAGTCGGTCGATCGGTCAGAATTTTTCAAACAGTCTGAACGGTAAAATCGCCTTTTACTGTGAAGTTTTTTTTAAGTTAGTTTATTTTTTTTAATTCATTTAACGAGTCAAAGGCCAATGTCAAATTTTGCTAGCCTGAGATTTTATGGATTTTTTCTGGTGTTTGAAGATCTACAACTGTGGGATCTAGCTGGGAAAAAATGGCTTGGAGACTACTGGGATTTTATTCTTTTGAAATCTGTAAAATGAAACTCTGTGATGAAAAAGTTGCAGTTGTCGTAGTAATATCCTTTTCTGGTTGTAGTTTCTTTTGAGTTTTTTTTTTTTTTTTTTTTGGTGTTGAAAATTTATCAAGAAATCGATTGGAGATAGCTGCGGGTTTATTCTTTTAGAATCAGTAAAATGCAATTTTGAGAAAGAAAAAAAAGAGTTTGTCGTTGCAATAGTATCCTTTTCTAGATTTAGTTTCTTCTGGGGCTTTTTGTTTATTGCTTACAGTGTTTGGGTATGAAGGGAAATTAATCAAATCATGGGTTGGACACAGTTTCAGTTTAATTCTTTTAAAATCAACCAATCAATTTTGAGAAGAAAAAAATATCTTTATTGTTCTTTCTAGATTTCGTTTCATTTGGAGTTTTTCCTATGTTGGTTATAGTACTTGCACTTATGTTTGGATGGAAATTAATTGTTTGCCCAAAGAAAATGTGGGTTGAGATTTATTGAATGATGCCTAATGCCTTCCACCATGGGCATTGGGAGCATGGTCGAAAATATGTGCTGTGAATCTAGAACCAGTGGAGAGTGGTCCTTTTCTGCTGATGCTGTATTTCTTATATAAACCAAAATTCTTTGCGTTCCTAGTTTGGGCAAATGCACTTCTGTTGAACATGCAATTTGAATTAGTAATATCAAAAAAATGGATAGGAATCCAGTTAATGAATCTAGAATTGTATATGGATTGAAAAAGACAAAATTACAAAATAGTATTATCTCAAGTAATTTCATGGAATAAGAGATGGTATTGCATGATATTACTGTGACTACACCTTGAAGATAATTGTAGTGAATCGCCAATACAATGAGAGCGTTGGAGTAGGGTCAGCAATACTTTGTGATTTTTCTTTTCTGCCAAATTTATCTTTTTTCTTGCACTCTTTAGCAGTTGCTTGAGCCTGTTAGTGCATGTTTATGGAAATCATAGCATCACAATGCTTTTCTGTTAGGTCCCTAAATCAACAGTTCCTGAGTTTAAAAAAAAGAACGTAGAACATAGAACAGTTGATGCTGATTCTGAAGCCATTTTTTGATACTGCTTGACTAGTTTATCATTGCTGTTATTCGTAGTATTAAATTGAATTATAATGGCTTTAATCACTTTGTAAAAAATAACAAGGATATAACCTTGTCTGTCTATCCTCAACCTTATAGTGTCAAGATTGGTGTGAAAGTGTTTTGACGTTTTACCGACAGATCTGTTTATAATTTAGTTTTATATTCTTTTGTTTTAGGGATTTTGCCCTTGTTTAAGCCCTATTTTTAGGAAAAATGCATTTTTAAACAGTGTTTTTATATCATTTTAATCACATATTTTTCAATAAAATAATATTAGAGGCAAATTCAAAATTTTTCCTTATTTTTTAACCACACATTTCACATCCATATACTATTCAAAAATGCTTGTTTATGGAGAATTTTACAATTCTATGATCTGACCCTATGATCAGATCTTGAGACCCCAAAGTGGATCTATATAGCATCCTAGTTTTAGCAAGCTCTTCTACAAGTTACTAAATTGCCTGCTATATTGCTCACGCGATGTTGCTTGGTATGAGACACTTACATCATTTAGTAACTATTTTTCTCACCTATTAATCTTTGGTTACCAGGACAGAGCTTTGCCGCTTTAGCGGTGCCAAGATATACCCTGGGAAGGTTATTAGATTTATTCGCTCAGACTCCCAGGTAGGTTAAGGTGTAGGTGGCTATAAAATTCCATTCTGGTACAATGTTTTTGCCGTCTTTTAGCGTGGTCATTCTTGGATAATTTAGTTTCATTTTGCCAAGCTCTATTTCACCATTCTTTGATACACTAAAGAAACTGTTTTCCCCCCTTGTTAAAGGTCTTCCTCTTTCCCAACTCGAAATGCAAGAGGTATTTCCATAATCGCCTGAGGCCTGCAAAGCTTACATGGACTGCTGTGTACCGCAAACAACATAAGAAGGTGAAATATACTAGTACAATTCCTTTTTTACTTTTATCACTTCTGGCCTTTCTTTTCTTGCTGAGGTGCATCGATATTCTTTCAAAGGTCTTAATCTTATGATATGGCTCTAATTACTGATTCATAGGACATTGCTGCTGAAACTGTGAAGAAGAGGCGTCGAACAACCAAAAAGCCCTACTCAAGGTCAATCGTTGGTGCCACCTTGGAAGTTATCCAGAAGAGAAGAGCTGAGAAGCCAGAGGTCCGAGGTGCTGCACGTGAAGCTGCTTTACGGTATATTATTAGGAGTTCAAATCTTTGATAACCTGTGTCCATAAAAGTGTAGCTCTCTTTAAGAATTGCATTTTGAACTAAACATTACTTGTGGGTATTTGTTCTTAGTGAAATCAAGGAGAGAATCAAGAAAACCAAGGATGAGAAGAAGGCAAAGAAGGCAGAAGTGATGTCCAATGCACAGAAAACAAGCAAGGGTAATGTCCCCAAGGGAGCTTTACCTAAGGGTCCTAAGCTTGGAGGTGCTGGTGGCAAACGATAGTTTTTCTTGTCGCTTAAAGTTTTTCGTTGCCTGTTTATGAATGATATCGTATTACTGAATTTTGACTCTAGTTTTGTACGGATGGTTGGCGACATGCCATCTCTCTGTTTCTTGAGCATTTTATGAGAAATAGCACACCTACTTTCCTTGATCAATTTACAATTACTGAAATAAAAATTAGATTCAGTAGAAGCCCAACGAAACTTTTTTTTTGTTTTTTTTTTTTTTTTGGTAAACAATTTGAGGAAGATAATGCGGACCAGATGGTAAAGCTTCTTCAAGAAATGGGTGGTTCTGGACAATAAAATGTATCAATTGACCTGTCTGATAGTACCATCGATATAGTATAAACACGTACAGATCATTGAAACAAGAAATGCAGAATGGCAGGTAAATGGAATAACGTGAACAGCATTACAACATTCTTAAACGGGTGAAAGTGAAACAAACAGTTATTGCCTTTTAGGAATTAGACACACTACCTAGCCATATTTGTAAGCGTATGGTTTGTTAATAACAAAGCAGAAAACACAAGAATCAGGTTATGTTCTAATATCTGTTCCAATGATCTCCATTGAAACCCTGGAAATCTCCTCTAGCAGGCATTCCAAGTCTGTCCAAACGACCAGACCCCGGATAAGCTTTGCTTGTGAAGTTTGTATGCAATGCAGAAACCCTCTGAATATTTGTTCTTGGTTCATCATACCCATGCATTGAGCATCTTCTAGTCGAGCTTGATCTCTCGTATTGAGGCCTTTGTTTTGGAGCACTCAGAGATCTTACCTTAACTTTTGACGATTCTGTGTAAGCCATGTAGTTAGGAAGATCTGAGTAACCACTTAGACAGCTTCTCGATCCATCACTCTTAGTAGGTGTAAATGGTCCTCCGTTGTCAGCTGCGTCCATTGAGGTTTCATCAACATCAAGCGAAAACTTCAGAGGGGATTGACCTTCACTGTAAGATGGATTTAGATGGGATATGGAGTCCTTCGAAGTAGAAAAGCTATGACAGATTTGGTCCGACCCAATGCTAAGATGAGATGAATGAAAGAGGTTTCTACATTTGGGCGTTATATATGGCTTCTCGTTGTCTACAAGTGTCTTGTTGCTCCTTTCATCATCATGTCGACCAGTTCTCGTAGAATATCCTTGATTGATGAGGACCTTGCCATTCGAGTTCAGATCATTCCTCTGCATTTAGCATGAGAGCATTCTTAGGCACTTGCGTACATAACGATGAGAAAGAAAAAGATCGAGAACTTACCTTGAGTATCAACGACTGTTCGTTCTTCATATTCCTAGCTCGAATAACATGTTCAAATTTCTCAGGAGTTGCAGGTCCCTACGAGTTCAAATTCAAGTTACCACATTCAGCCCCAGTAAATTAAAGTTCGAATAGCAGAAGAAAGAAGCTAAATATTTGGATAGCTATCTAAATTGTCCTTTGTTACAAGCTAAAGTTCTAATGTAAATAGCGACCTGCTGGCTCGGGGAAAACAGAAAAGTAGAAACATGAATCTCGACATGTTTGACTAAGCTCAAAAATAAGGAACTATTTTAGTTTTCAAACATGTTCAAAGTCGTTACTTTTTTTAAGCATCTCATACCATGCTCTCAAAATAAGTAACTTACATTTACTTATAAGTTTCTAAGCTTAGCAAAACATGCGGAATTGTCGACGAAAAGCATAAAGTAAGCTACACTACATTTACTTCTTCATGAGGACTAAGATAACCAGGGTGAAAAACCTATGGTTCTGCTTACTGGATGATTGGTTTGAGGGGACTTCATGCTTGAAAGTGGAGATTTAGAAATCATGGCCCGGCCTATACGAGCTCTTGCTTGTGCTCTTAACAATGCCTGCATTCGTCGCAGAATATCTGCAGTGCGTTTCCTCACAAGGTGTCCTCTTGCCAGTGCTTGAAGCTTGACTAGTGCTCTCAGTGCACGTAAAGCTTTTCTCGACTACAAATTACCCGCCAAAGAAAATTATCATGAGAGAGCAAGAACACGAGTAGGAAAGTATTGAGTTCAATTCGGACAATGTAGTCGCACATATAGAGGAGAAAAAGTCATATATTGTAATTTCGTCTTCTTCAAAGCTTGACATAACCCAATTCTCATTAAATAGGTAGCTCTCAGTAAAGTGAATAAAAGTATCTCAAAAAGCTCTGACTAAAGTTACTCAGCTAACTCTTTATTTACAATGGCATCAAATCCTCCTGAAGCGAAACGTTCACAGGCAAGTTACCCTCCTAGATGTGTCAAAATCTATCCAGTTGCTCAAGTTCAAGTGGCCAGGTATGTAAAAATCACCAGTCCATGCATGATTCGACTCGTGGTAAACCATGCTGCGGGCCAGTCCACCTCCATAGTCAAACCATGCACGACTCGGGTGTAGGAGTCTATGCTCACGTTAACCCACCAGCTTAGCTTGGGCTTTTCGACAAGCTGCAGCCACATACCATCGCAAAATCGAGACATAAGCCTATTTGAGCCCCATTTTTTTTTTTGTAGAATGCATTTTGGAATAATAAATTGATTGAGAATGTGTGGTTAAAAAATAAGAAAAATATTATTTTATTGAAGAATGTGTGATTTAAAAGAAGGGAGAAAAATGTATTTTAAAAATAATGAGAATCAAACGAAGGCACAATAGATTGGTACAGCTCAACTATGCAAACAGCTAAAAAAGTGAGGTGTACAGATTACCAAAATCTGTCCAATTCTTACATCAACAACAGTGTTAAGTACACATTAAAAAGGTGCAAAATCAGGTGTGAAAAAAAAAATTGCACCGACTCTGAAACTGCCCTTCTGGCAAAAGAAACAAATGGACTTTTTTAAAGGAACAAAACAAAACTCAATACAAAGAAACAAAAAATTACAAATTTACTTCATTTTCAAGAGTTACATGATATTATTCTAGAGCTGCATGAAATGTTAAAAACTGCTAGATTTTTGCGAGTACACAAGGCTTCAACCTACCTGTTGACCCACCTAAAATCATCTCTCTCTCTCTCTCTCTCTCTCTCTATATATATATATATATGTGTGTGTGTGTGTGCAAGATATACTCGTGTGTATATGTATATGCGAATAGATAAGAGCATTAATAGGCACTAATCAATATAAGTAAACAAAAACTTTGCAAGTTCCAAGTCAATAAAACTAGACGTTAGTGAGATTTTAACTTCTTTTTTCATAGCACTTTTTACTTGAAATTTCAATGGTTAAAATAGTATTTTATCGAAAAAATGTGTAATTAAAAAGGAAAAAAATTTTGAAATTACGTATAATATTATTTTATCAAATAATGTATAGTTTATAAGAAGAAAGTAAAAATGAATTATAAGTTTAATAGAGATTTAATACTTCATATCAAACATCATTTGTACATCTTTTAATATTTACTATAGAAGTAAAGCTATTTAGCTTCACTGTAGTTACAACCTTAGACTAAGTGGCGCTAATGTAACATTAAGTGATAGGCGAAATTAAATAACTTATTTAATTTCACTTTTCATTCAAACCTATCATCTAACGCTAAGTTACATAACACCGCAAAAATGTATTGTATGAAAAGGCAGTTTTTTTTTTTTTTTTTTTTTTTTTTTTTTGGAATTGTGAAATGAAAGAATACCACTGTCAAACAGAATGTAAATCAAGAATAATTGAAACAATACGTAGGATTTAATACTTATTCTACGGATCCAACTTAGCAAACATACTTCCACAAGATATAAGTTACCACTCGGTACGGAGTGAAACGACATTATTGCCCATGGATACGGGTTTTCCGAATTCCAGCTGTATGCGAGCTGAGAAGGAAGTGTTCTATCTAACCGACTATTTGGTACAAAGAACACTGGTTTTAAGAATGAATGATTATTCTTACTGCCCCAGACTGAGAAACAAATAGCTAATGTGATCCACAAAATATAGATACAGATACAGAAGTACTATATATATCAAAGTATATTTGAGTTCGAAAATATTGGGGGAGGGGAGAGAGAAAGAGATAGAGGGCCTAACCAGATAGGCTCGGAAATGGGACTGGATCATAACGGCGGCCAAGTCCTCACGGCAGCCATAACCGGCTGCCATTTGGCTAACACGCGCCGACATGTCCACACATCCATTGACTGCAGAATCAGTAGTTCTACCACTGCTGGTAAGCCTGACTACTGCGGCGGCTGCCTGAGCAGCAGCAACGGCAGCCTCCGCCACAGCAGCAGTGGCCTCCGCCATAGTAATGGCGTGATTGCCGGCGTCACCTTCAGTTTCGCCACTGGGATGCAACGGAACGACGCCATGTTGGGATTTTTCCGGTGTGAGCATCAAAGAGTGATCTTTGTCTTTGTACGATCTGACGAGGGTCCATTTCTTCTTGGGTGGTTTGTCGTCCGGGTCGGGTTTATTGAATCCTATTAGACCTCGAAACCATCTGTATGCTCTGCCCATTTGTTGTTTCGAGTTTACTGTTGAAAGAGGGTTGACGGTAGTCTTCGAAGCTGGATTGCAGAGAGAATGCTGACGGGCTATATAGAAAGCAAGTGACAGAGAGACGCGTTTGGGTAATATTGAGTAAAATAATTACTTATAATTGGGCTATTAGTAAGGGTTCAAGACATTCTCTATCAAAAGTCGGTGAAACTTTTAAGTTATGTAAGCTGAGTGGTAGTGTAAATTAAGTTGGGATTATCACTTATTTATAAAACTGAGTACGAGGATTAATGTAGGCAACACTGTAAAGCGTTTCATGGACTATTGTAATTCATAATTTTGTGTAAAAATGGTTGTTGGTTAAATAAATCAATTGATGCGAAATTGGTCGGTGGAGTCTACCAATCCCGCTTGTTGTCGGGTGGGAACACACCCACATCCACACCCATACGCTTGGCCTTGGTCAACAATGAGGAGCTCCAGCCATTTGTCCTGGGCAAGTTATTCTACTTCCTACTATGAATAGAAATTTATACGTGCTTCAAATTCTTGGTCCAAATAAAGCAATTGATTTGGGACCCATAAATAATGAAACCTATGGGAGTGTTACGATTCAATATTAAAGTCTGAACAACTTAGAGTGGAATTGGTGAGCTCGTCTAATTTAGAATGTAGTCCAACAGATCACGTTTTTTGATGTGTATTTAGCATTATTTCCAGTTCTTGAACTTTATACGAATGCAAAATCCAAGAATATTGAGCAAACCGTATTTGATTCTTCTAAATAATTTGTTCACCCCGATCGACTTAGCATGACCCACTGGACTAAGCTAGGTTGAGCAAGGTCCATCTCAAAAGATACAGAACATGCCTTGTTTGACCTCCATTCTTAAAATACGTTGTTTCTCAAATTCATTTTTATCCAAATACTTCATGATATTCACAATTTATATCAACTTTTCAATCATACATTTCACTAACTTTTATTAAATTTTGCTAAAAGTTTAATTTTTATCCAAAGCAAACCGGGGCACAGTATCACGGATCAATTGGCTCCAATGCAAAGAACGGACTAGTACATGGGATAGCACAAGAAGGAAAATTAGTGAGTCCATAGCTTGCATGACGAAGCCCCCGTTTGGCCACAATTATTTGAAATTTTTAATGGTTGAAATAGTGTTTTTTTTGAAAAATTTGTTGTTAAAAAAAAGTTTTTGAATTATATATAATATTATTTTATTAAAAAATGTGTGATTAAAAAAAAGAGAAAAAAATAAATTATAATTTTAATAGAGATCAAACAAGGACTAAGTTTACCAGGCCCTTCATTTAGCCCCTATTACATCTCATCAAACTAAATTAAATTTTTTTCTCTTTTATTTTCAATCACACAATTTTCAATAAAAAAATATTATACGGAAAGAGAAAATTTTTCATTCTTTTACAATCATTCATTTAAAAAAAATATATTATTCCTCCATTATAATAAAAATTAATGGGGGCAGGATTCGACCGCCCAACACGCATTAGTTAGGGGTGGAAAGGATGTGAACTTCACAAGTTCAATGACTGCAGATTTCACATGTTGATATATGTCAAAACAAATTTTTTCTTTGTCTAACAGCAACACCTACCAAAACCTATTAACTTTTGTTTATGGCTTAGTGAATAGACTAATCACATTAAAAGGCGATCAAAAGTTAGAAAGTAAAGAAATTACAGTACACAATTGAGGAAAGTAGCATCACGTGCATGGATTTGCTGTCCATTCCATCGATATTCCCTACCTAAAAAACTAGGTTACTAAATCCTAAGTTCTGTTTGCTTGCTCCAATGCTTCAATAAATCATTTCCATTTCCCTATTTCACTCTACCTTTCATGTCTTTATAGATTTTTTACGAGTGAAAATCTCCATTAAAAGTAAAATTACGCATTTTGTCCTTTTTATCATCCTCGATAACTATATTACTCAACCTCAAGTGCAAGTGCACAAAATAGTGAATGAGAAATTTGAAAATTCAGCTGACGTGTTTGCTTTTGAGTGCAGCTACCCGATATTTTACTTGATTTTAATTTAATCCAAAAAATTTAAATTTTTACTTAAATTTCATCCCGACATAGCAATCGGTTGATTCTACTGTCTGCATATGAGCAATGATGCTAGAAGTACAGTATCTTGTACAACTTGATTGACAAAGTGACCAAGTGATGGCCCCCGATTGAAGGGGCGGCTGTAGGATATTGTACAAATAGAATAATTCACAAATGAGAAGAAAAAATAATAAATAAGATTTTAACTTTTTTATTGCTTAATATTGTCCAATTTTATCCAATACTCTTCATCAAACATGCCGTTAAATTATTGTCGAAAAATACTTGCAACAAGAAATGACTTTCTCTATGACATACCATCAGAGGAGTCAAGATTTCTAGAGAGGGAGGAGACGATCGACAGTGCTACCGCGATTGATGATCCAATAATGACTAAGGGGTAGTTAGCATCTGAAAAAAACCATGAAACTACTTTTTATTAAAAAAACTTTGTTAATGAAATATAAAAATAATCAGCTTTAGACTAATTTAAATCTAAACATAAATAAAATAGTCTAGAAACACAGAAAACGAATCAACTTTTTTACAATAAAATAAAAAATATAAAAAATCAAGGTTTAATTACACTACTGAAAAATCGAAATAAAAAAATGGAGATTGGAAGATTTTAAGTATTTTTTAACTTAAAAAATAAGTAGTTTCCTGATTTGATGCCTTGATTGGTATTCGGGCCCACTTAGGTATTTTTTTTCCTAGATCAACCTGTGTTGTTGACACGTTCAATTTTAAATATCTATCTATATTGGCCCAAGTTCCATTAAAATTAGTTTTGCGAATAAAATATATTATGAAATAGTGATTTTTGAAAAATGTATGATCAAATAAAGAGGAAATTGTATGAAATACCTACTTCTAAGCCCCTGTTTGACCCCCATTATCTGAAAATGAAAATGGGGGGAATAGTATTTTTTAGAAAAATGAATGATTGAAAAAGAAGGAAAAGTTTTCGATTTACGTGTAATATTATTTTATGGAAGATTGTGTGGTTGAAAATAGGAGAAAGAGAAATGGAATATAATGTAATTTAATTTAATGGAGATCAAACATGGGCTAAATAAATATTCAAAAATATCATATCATCATTTTTTAATTCCACAAATACTGCAATATATAAAGTAAAAATGAATTATCAAAAAACAACTAAACTCCAAAAATATAATAAATTTAGGTAGCTTATATCTCTCTACCAAACAAGCCTATTTAATTCACCCCCAATTATCGCCAAATCCCCAAAGTTCTTTTCCTTCATATTCAAGCAAAAATGGAATCAAATCAATTGAAAAAAAAAAAAGGAAAAAGAAATTGTTTTCACATCCCGCAAATTAACATTGTTTATGTCTATAGACTTTTTAGTACAAAATATCATGATCAAATCCATTATCCTCTTGCGGATTTGCGAAGATACAAGGGATTTTTTCTTCTTGTATAAAAATCAATCTTCGTTGAACTGATCAAGAAACAAAGTCATTTTCTAATAGATCCACAGTAATACTCTCCGTAATTGAGTTTTCAAAAGCTCGATGGGGAAGTGTTGATCTGCATATGCTTTACTCGCCATATGTATGATTGTAATATAATTTAATGGACAGGAGGTTCAAATTTTCTGAATAGTATAGTTTTGGATATTTTTTCTTCCTATAATCCCTTTTTCTTGTCCCACCATTCTATTCAATCTTCTCCTTGGCTGTGAGTTTGTGACCAGTAGCTTTAGGCTTGAATAGAATGATTTGGAATCCTTTTTGGAACCAGTGAACTCAACTCTGGAACACTAAAGACGTAGAAGTGATTGTAATATTCTTAAACTTAGTAGGTTATTCCTCTTGATCCTTGTAATGTAAGTAGTAGTTCAACACATAGGTTATGCTTTTAAGTTTCTTCTCTGCTTCTTGATCAATTCTTGAGAGCTAAGGCCTGATGTCTGCCTCCCTTTAATTCTGTCTATTATCAAGATACTGGTAGGGGATATTGTTAAACCCCCCAACTATGCTTGGGATGGACCCTAAAGACTCATTATTAAGTGTTGGGAATTTACAATAAAAACTCCATATCTGATTTTCTTTGTTTGATGCTAGTTCTTCATTTTCTTTTCTCAGACATTCATACTCCTGCATTTTCAAGTGGATGATTAAAATTACATTCATGTCCTAGGAATGTGTAAAACGACATCTACATCTATTCCTATTTTGCTTGCAATCCTCTCTCAATTTTCCATGATAGTTCATTTTTCTAATTGTTTATCATATCTTGTTTGTAGTCGTCTATACCATTGATCTAGTTAAACTATTTTACCATGTACTGATCCTATTGTAACGAATTTATGCTATTGCAAAACAGAGAGAAAAGGAAAAGAATATTAACTTACAATCTTTTATTTTCTTTTGTTAAGGTACACGCTGTGAAAATATTGTATTTCACTATTTTGCACCACTACCACCAGCATAACATCATGTTGACATTTCTAAGACATTATATAAAGTAAAAACAAGATACTGAGTGAAGGCCACTAGACTTAAATATGGAAATAATACGACTTGATTAACAAATGAACAAATCAAGGGAAACATTATTGCATGGTGAATCAATGAATGAAATATTCCTGTATATACTTGAGAGCAGGGATGGACTCAGACATTTTTTATTGTAGGGTCAAAAATTAATGTGCAATTTTTTAAAAGTAACATAATATGGATGAAAATAAGTCATACATTACTCATTTCAACAATATTTTGCTCTTCACTTGAAAACACAAATACTCGTTTAAAATATTTCTCGATGATTATTATAAAATCAAATTCAATAAATAAATAAATATCATATTTCAATTTTCATCAAAGGACAACATTAATTCATAATAGACAACAATTAATTACATAAACAACTCTAAATCACCAAGTGAGGGAAAGCCATTACTTGGAGTTGAGTGAATGAAGACTAAACTTGAAATTGGAAATAATTTCTCTTGAAAAAACAATTCCCTAACATTTGCAATTTAATTAATATCTCAAGAATTCTAATTTAGAGCAATAAGATACTAATATAAAGATAGCAATAAAATTTGTCATAATGGACCGACGACGCTGCTAAACCCCAATCGCACGCCATTCATTATAAAAATATCAAAATAAAGCCATTTTAATGAAGAAAATACAGACAATTACTAAAATGCTTGATCTAAAATTTTTCAGATAAACGGACACTAGTGGAGATGATTCTAGTCTACTGGAATCCTCTATTGCTTTTCCAATTTAGTTTCTGATCCCCAATCTCAGTCACTAAACAACAGCCCTTGAAATTCAACACACTATAAATGCACTGCAAAACCTATCGTTTTTCAATCTGTTAACTTGGAGTAGAAGAAATAATAAAAATTAATAAAAACCTTATCGAACTGTAAATTATTGTGTTTGATTGGTATAATTTTCCACGTGAAAATGTTGAAATAAAAGTGTTTTTTATGTTCCTTTAGTTTTGTTTTATATGAAAATTGTCAATTAAAGGGATAGAATTTACTAGTATTAGGTATGAAATTTGTTTTCATTGCCAACAAAAAAAATCAAGAAAATCATCTATCTTTTATTGTTCGTTTGTCTTTATTTTACATGAAAATTGTCAGTTAAAGGGAAATATTTTTTACAATAATTCTTAAAATTTATTTCCATTACCCAAAAAAAAAAAAAACACAACTTCAAAGTAGGGTTGTAAACCAAGAAAAGAACAACTTCCAAAACAATGGAGAAAATGAATTTCATGAAAAAAGTGTGCTATCAAACACTACAATTTGAGTGGAATCCGTGGAATTGGCCCTATCAAACACATCCTTAGCTCAAAAAGAAGACGATTCTTGGAAAGCAATTTAGCCACTTCTGGTGGAAGAACAACGTGCCCGAAAAATTAAAAATTGCTCAAAAAATGTAAGATTATCCTCAAAAAACATAACATGTAGCAATTAAAAGAATGGTTCAATAAATTAGAAAAGCACCAATACTCGTAGGTGTCATAGAAGTATTGGATCTAGTATATTTCGTTCACAATTTCTTGATTCCTAAATAATCGCTCTAAAAAACAATGGAGAAGAAAAAGAAGTCAAAGAAAAGCCCAAATTTGAACTTCTATATTTTGAAGCTACTAAAGAAATACATACATGTGGAACGTAAGTGTGTCACTGTGTAAGACATGGAAATATAAAGCGGAGGATTAGAAAATGGGTTAGGGCAAGTACAAAATTAAAAAAATAAAAAATAAAATCAAGAGTCGAATTTTTTACCCCTCATGACCACATGTGAGTCCATCCCTGCTTGAGAATATTATGTGTATACAAACTACTACAATCAATTATCATTTTAAAGATTGTCTGCAGCTTATCAGATAAGAAAAATGAATTTGATTACAAGAAAAATCTTTTAAATGACACATTTGGTAGGGGGAATCAAACACCTCATGATAATTATTATTAAATTGAAAAAATCAACATAAAGAACACGAAATATGATCACAATACGTGGCTAGCGATGTTAGAAGGAAAAAATTATTAAAAGAGCGTCATACTTATTATTAGGAGTGGGCGCGGGTCGGTTCTAAAGTGAATCGAATCGAACCAAAATTTTCGGGTATCTAGTAAATGGAACCGTTCGGGTTCGGGTTCAGGTTCGGGTTCGGTTCCGTTCGGTTCTGTACTATACTTAAATTTTTTAACATTTATAACAACATTATATAAATATAACTAATAGCACATTCAATGGTTTTGGAATGTCAGAGACTAGTAGACTACCTTGTTCAAATGATCGCTACGATCAAAGTCTCGGTCGGTGGAGATCACAGCTTCGATCGGAGGTCACATCGTCGGTCGACGATTGTATATTTGTATAGGTTTTGGAATGTCAGCGAGGCTACGAGAGTGAGTGCGAGAGTCGAGACAGCGTTATGCACTTTAGTGTAAGTGTTTATGGTTATTTAGTGGATTTGATCTTGTTGGGCTAAGAAATCAAACAATAAAATAGGTAATTGGGGCAAAAATTAAAAAATTAGAAATAAAACAAATTATTTAGCCAAAAATTTGGATTAAGAAATTGTTAATTTGTTTAAAAAAAATTAAAATTAAAATAATTTGATTTATTCAATATAAAAAAAAATTAGAAAGATTCGGTTCTTGGTTTAGAATCGAGAACCGAACCGTACCCGTCGGTTCTCAATTCAGATACCCGTTCGAATATTTAATTTGACAAGAACCGTCGAGTTCGGTTCAGATCGGTTCGAGTTCAATTCGATCGGTTCGGTTCGGAAAATTTGCCCAACCCTACTTATTGTTAAGTGACCATAATCCAATTGCTTTCATTCTTTATATTGTAATCAGCCACCACCTTCATCCCAGACACATAACAACATAATAATAATATGTATATTATTACATCCGTTCCATAAAGATAGACTTTTTTTTTTTTTCATTTGTCTCAAATCATAGACTACTTTCTTTGTTGAGAATATAATTATTATTTGTTATTTTTTTAATATACTCATATTTAATGTGTCACGAGCAAATATTTATAATTATCTAACATAAGGGTATATTTAAAAAATGTAAGAAAAAGTTATATATCGTTTATATATAGGGGAATTATAAAAAATGTCACTTATTTTGAAAATGCACTAAAAATTTGCTTGGGCACCAAATTTTATCAAAAATGTCACTTTTTAAATTAGAAATGTCTAACTTACCCGTCATTCCCCTTTTTAGGAGAATTTAATGCTACATTTCCAATCCAATTAATGCTATGATTTGATTAGTTAAATTTATGTATTATAATCATGGATATTTAAATTTATATATTATAATCTATGGATATATGTATATTGTATGTGTAAATACAAATTTACAAGAAAAGATAAAAGAAGTAGAAAATCTCATTTTAACACCAACCAAATCTCTTCTCCAACAAACCCACACATCATCTTTCTTCTTCATTTCTTGATCAAGAAGAGACAAGTATTGGATTCATCAGTCATTTTAAGAGGTTAGTTTTTACGAATTGTTTATATTTTTATAGAATAGCTTTGTCTTTTTTAAATGCTAAAAACAACATAATATGGAAGTGAAGAATGGTTTAAAAATTCTTATTAATCATGATGCTCTTAATGAAGCATTCAGTCATTTATTTTTAGACAGATGCTGTGATAATGTAGTTGTTGTAGTTGAGAATTCATTATAATCATTAATGTTTTCAACAAGGTACCAAACACGCCCGAAGCTTGTTGACAGTTAAACTATCGAACCCAACATTTAATAATTGTCGGGTTAGACATTTTAACTATCGAAATCGACGGCTAAAAACTGTTGACACCATTCATTTCACCTTATGTTTTTGCATCAGTTTAAATATTGGAAAGTGTCACTTCCATGCTAGTACATATCGACACATTCATTGGATCTATATTCTTATCGTTCTAATCCCAATATTTCAGGTATGGACAATCATTTCATATTCATCGTGTCATATGGAGGAAAGTTCATTCACGTGGATGACGAATGGAAGTGGACAGGGGACAAAACCACTTCTATTTTAGTGCCGAGAAGTATTACCGTAGCCGGTCTTCTGTTATTGTTGAATGACAAACTTGGTGTTATTAATCCGCGCACGAAAATTGAATTAAAGTTCGGAGTACCGAACTTCAATTTACCACCGGCCGAAATACGTGAAGATGAAGACCTAATTTGGTACAAATCTGTTCATATGGAAAATGCCATCTGCATTACTATTTTGGAAACTGATTTGCCGAGTGTTGACATGGGGAGGGAAACAAATTTGCATGACCCATTGTTCGGAGCAGCGGATGTTTCCCATGCTAACGATGACGTCCGTCATGAGCCTAGAACCCCAAACAATAATGTAGCCGATAGTCCAATTGAATACGTTGGGGCTGCACCATTAGATGAGATGTTGGACGAGCCGTTACATGGTACAAATGATGCTAATATTGCCAACGTTGACAAGAGAATGTCATCACATTCCCAGAGTTTGGATACATACCAATGGATTACATGTGTAAGTACATCCGATCTTGTTGAATGGCAGATATTCTTCAGTAAGAAAGAGCTGTACTTCAAAATTTGTGTGCTTGCTGTGCAGGACAAGTTCCTTTTTAAGGTCAGCAGGTCAGGCCTCAAAATGTTAACTGTGGTATGTGCAGACGATAATTGCAAGTGGATGTTATGGGCTTCGAGTGTGAAGCAGTATGCAATATTCATGATCCGTAAATTCAACAATGTTCACACATGTTCCGTAGATTTTCGTCGTAACGCACATCGACATGCCACTACTTCTGTAATTGCCGAGCATATTTTGGAAAAATTGGATAATCCATACCGATCGTACGATCCTACCGCTATTGCATGTGACATGGAACGCTAGTTTGGTGTGGAAATAAGTTACCACAAAGCACATAGGGGCAAGGTGGCTACTTTACATATGCTACACAGTACACCGGGGGATAGTTTTCAAAAACTATCGTCATACTGTCACGTCCTAAGAGAGAGCAACCCGGGGACAGTAACCTACATTGAAGTTGATTCGCGTACCAGGTTTCATTACTTCTTCCTGGCTTTCGGTGCAAGCATTCGTGGTTACATACACTACTTGAGGCCCGTTATTTGTGTTGACGGTACTCACTTGAAAGGTCCATACAAGGGTATACTTCTGCTGGCAACCGGCCAAGATGCTAACAAACATATTTATCCCCTATTATGGGGGATCGTTGATGCCGAAACAAATAGATCGTGGATGTGGTTTATGTCGAACTTGAAAGAGCTTATAGGAGACTCGGCTGAATTAGTTTTTGTTTCCGATAGGAAAAATAGTATTTCTAATTCCATTGCTCACGTATTTCCTTTGTCTCAGCATGGGTATTGTATTTGGCATCTGAAGAAGAACTTAATCCAGCGGTACAATAACGCAAGTGCAATATTTCTATTCAAACGAGCTGCAAGAACTTCTCGGGTCGAAGAGTTTGAAAGACTTTTGGGACAGATCTGTAGGGTAAGTGAACGAGCGCATGGGTGCTTGGAGCGAGCTGGTTTTTCATTTTGGTCACGAGCACTATTCTTTGGGCAACGTTACAACATATTGACAAACAACAACGCGGAATCTTTAAACTCAATGTTGAGACATGCATGTTCATTGCCGATCACATGCTTGGTCAAACACATTCGGCAAACTGTGCAGAAGTGGTTCTACGAACGTCAAACAAATACAACCGCATGTAGTGCCGTGTTGTCAACGAGGATGGAAAGCCAGTTACGGACAACGTTCGAAGCAGGTGCAAGGCTTCGAGCTCAAAGCCTGACAGAGAACTTAACACAAGTTGGACTATCCAATGACACGGACATCGTGGACTTCTCCGATAACACGTACACTTGTTATGAGTTTCAGCTTAATCGTATGCCATGCATTCATGTAAGTCGCACTTCCTGCTTGCGAGGTAAGTCATTGTACGATTTATGCTCACCGTATTACAAATCGGATTACTAGAGAGTTGCCTACAGCGAAGCAATCTATCCTCTTATGCATGAAGTGGACTGGATTGTCCTGAATGAAATCTCAGGTACTCATATTCTGCCACCGAGTGTACGTCGTCCTCCAGGTAGACCACCCACACGACGTCGTCGATCCAGACACGAGTCCACCACACGACTGAGGAAATGCACTCGCTGTGGTAGAGTCGGTCATAATCGGACCACATGTTCAAACCCCATTGTACCACGGCCCATTCAAATAGGCTCTTCTCTGTGACTGGCCGAAGTTGTATGTTTACTTTTTCCCATGTCGTTGTACCTAATCAATGCATTTATTATAATTCTGTTATCAATTGTACCCATGTGTCATATCATAATTCCACGTTTCTGATGTATCTACCATTCTCTGTACATCTACGAACTGACATTGGCTAAGTTCTGATAATTGAGAAGTTTTTCATAGTTACGATTAAACCGTCGGTTTGGACAGATGTCTCAGTCATTCTCGATAGTTGACAAAAACGTGCACCGCATTCAATATCAGGTTCACGTACATGGTAAACTGTACATTTCATTCCTAGAATCAAATAGAATCACAAATCTTACAGGACACAACATATTTAAAAGCGTACGACTCACCCTCCAACTCCACGATCATGCTACATAGTTGATGGTAGTAAGCAACACCTAAGGTGTGCGCATAATAAATTACTGTCCACATAATAATGATTTTTTCAGTCCCGACCAAGTGAATTATAAATTGCAACATTTTAAATAGTTCACTGGATTGACGGCATGATGCGCACCATTTTTTAACATCCGCCCAACGTATGGTGTGAGCACACCCATTAGCACCTTACATTATTCCAAATACGCACATGCAAAACCATATGAGACAATATATCTTTCAAACCATAGAATCTGCCCTCCTACTCTACAAACCTTCCGATTTTTTATCCACTCAAAAAGAATTTTTTCAATCCCCATGAAATAGATTATAATTCACAACATCGATAATACTCCACACAATTGAGCACAATTGAGCGCACGGTAAACACAATTTCATAACATTGGGTCCACTTACTACAAAATATGAGTCAATTTACAAGATACTGCTGCAGAAGCCCGACACTTCATTTGTTGTGCCCGACAGATTGTCTTTGTCATTCTTGACAGTTGGACCCCAAAATACACCGTCCGTGACATCCTATGGGAATGGTAATGCAGATCTTTACAATTGTGTTCACCGAATAGAAAAAGAACAAAATACAGGACTACGCATCACTTATTCACTACGAAAAATGGGTGTCACTTCATTCGTCCTCTACAACTGAGCCTTGTCCCCCGCTGTCTTCGCTCGACTCGTTCGACAAGATGATAATTACCTCATTATGTGGGACGTACGCCAACCCGTCTTCGTCATCTTCACTTCCTCCTTCGTATCCAACGTCGACCTCGAAACGCTCATCGAACACTGCGTTGGGTGATTGCACACCCTCTACCACTACATCTTCCAAGTTGGAAAATAGAACGGGGGAAATGGCTCTTCTACCAATACGAGGGTTAGCTTCCTCATCGTCCGACGAAATGTAGATTGGAAATAATGGAGATGAACCGAGAACTGGTACTGGCTCGTTGACGTTGAACGTTTCGGTGCTTTCTGTGGATGAACTCATTATATCGATGTTGTCAAGTATTGATGAAACGGATAATGTTCGAGGACTTTTAGTTCGAAGAATGGTATTCAACTAGGTTGTTTCTAAGATACAATGAACTCACATTCTGTATTTATAAGTAAGAAGAATGGGGAGCAATTATGTTCATCACCTTCCCAACCACCATGTCCAATCGCCTTGTCAATGTGAAAACCAATTGGTGTGATTGTTCAATAAATTAAGTGTACATTTATCCCATTTTTCCCATAATTACCAGGACCTTAAAGGCTCATAAATCTTGTGTACTATTAAGCAATGAGGATATCTTGCAACTAAAATATTGTCAAACTAATTTCCAGCTACTTGTACCATGTTCAAAAGGGTACAGGGTCTCACCCATGTGGCTCATGATGTCAACGTACATGTTCGACGATGCATGAAACATAATGAAACGAATATAAAGTCATTTTCTAGCTCGAAGCTTGTGGTTGTCATGGTTTTGACATTTTTAATGGCTCATCTTCTGAAATTTAACGACTATTATTAATGCACTCGCACGTGATAATCTAAACAATAAATTACGACTATAGCGGATATATGCCGTCCTAACGCGAGTCAAGGGGCTTCATTGCAACACAAATACTTCTCTCTTTAATCATTTCAAATATAGGTAACTACACGTCCAGCTCGAACAAATTTAGGACATCGACTGTTTGAACTAGACGAAAATTTTACACCCCCAAAAAATATAAAATCCCACGTTGTCACTGTGCGCTGCATCTCATGTACGTGCACCAAATATGACATTCGGCTAACGGGCTTTCGTCTGAATGAGCTCCCATCTCTGCAACTACATTCAAATAAATGCCATAAATTACAAATATGCCAAAGGTTATACAGTTGAGCGATTGCAATAATGTGTCATGAATTAAGAACATGAAGAACCGTATAACTCAATTGCATGTGATCCCAAGCGTTTGGAAAATTTCGATTGCAAACATTTTCATGCATTACAAATACGAATAGTCATATCTTCGAATTGCAGGTGATCCTAAACTTACACTGAATTTGTAATGATGATGTCTCTCATAATTTGTAGATATTACGAGCAGATAAATATTTCCATGAATAAAATATCTCTCACCCTTAAAGGTAGACAATTATTTGTCTACATTTCTTCCCAAAATTACTCCGATAGAAGATACATAAAATCAACGCAAAGTCCAGATGACATATTGTAGGATATGGGTATGTTCCTATAAAGAATATTTTATATCAATTATTTTATGAACTCGGAACTTTACTAGCCAACCTACCTTGCATACATTCAAATTATTTTTCTTGACATGCTTCAAGAATAGGAAAAGGTCAATGATATCCTATCCTCACACGCAGGCAATAATCCATCCTTTACACATCATAGATAAACTTAACAACTAAGTTACCTTGAGATCCGGGGACGTTTAGCACTGCCCAAAAATGAGATGAGCTTGTCCAACTTGTTCTCTCCCAATTCTGCCAACATCGCAACCAACCTGTTCACGGACTATAAGATAAGCGATCTCTCAAGAAAGAAAGAAACTCGAATAAAAATAACAACATAATATGGCAAAATACGAATTATCTGACCCGCCGAATGCTCTCCACAATATTGGGAATTTGTTGCTATGGCATCACTTTTAAAATTGCCTTACATCACTGCCTCAGGACATAATTCCCACTATAATGGCATATGTACACCATCCTCAAACTAATGAAACAACATTCAAGAGAACACTACAATGGCGTACGTATACCATACACGGATAAGCACTGAACACATTAGGCGAAATCACTGAAAACATGTAACACATAAGAACAACAAAGTTGACAGAAAATATGTATAACAATAACGTCGTCGGGAATTTTAAATTTCCCGGAAGAGTCATGTAATAAAAGTCAGAAAATAAGTTGAACATGTGTTATGCTGGTACCTAAAACTGTCAGCATTTTCCTGAAATCGACATGACATTCAACACCAACAACGCAAAATGTGATGAATGCGTGAAGCATCGCCACGGTATCCCAATAGTACGTAAAATGTAAAGGTAAACAAAAACCATATCAATGATACAAAATCCAGCCAGTTAACATCCCAACAAAATGTCTACCAATTCAGTCACCACCCAAAAACGAGTTCAAAACCATCATCGTGCTCTCCGGCCAGTTAAGAACAGCTACTTCTTAGTTCTCTTCGCCCTCTCCCCCGTATATGGAGTCTTCGTAGCAATAGTTGGTCGTCGCAACTGTGCCGAGCGTCGTCTCATTGTAGGAACTCTAGCTCGTGCTTCGGGTACCGGCCCAGGAGCTGGGAGTTCAGTGACAACACCTATAGAGAATAGAGACGGGCCAAGTTAGTTACCAAAATTGCATGTGATCAAAAGTGTGTAATGGAACCACTACCAATATACCCAGTTAACTTACCATCGCCATCCGTCGTATCGCAACCGTCTGCCTCTTCGTCGTCGTCCCCGGCATCATTTGAGGGCTTAGTGACTCCTGCATCTGACCAGTACAACACGTATGCAAGTGTACTTGCCGTTAAATACAATTGAAAAAAACCCTCGTAAATGACGCAGTACTTTGCACTTCTTCGCTTGCAGCGGACACTGGCAGGTTCAGATCGTCCTGGCTTGGCGCAATGTGTGCTGCGTCTGATGAAAACAACATTATAACAATTTCATTATAATAAGTGGGGAAAATTTCCAACCATGCAAAGTACATGAAGTAATAAATTTAGATTGTACAAATGAAAAATCCACATATCTAGCATATTTCCTGTGTCAATTGCGATGTCCGACTTGTACGGGCATGGCTCCACGGGTCCTCCATATACGTCTACGTCACAATTGAAACAAGAACAATACTACGTTAGACAGAGGTATGATGCGTAATGATGAACGTTGGTTAAAATTGTAAAGCAAAAGCTGTACGCAGGTAACAGGCATACCTTCTGGTAAAGAACCCGGGAAGCCGACCTCCATGTCGACCCTCGTCGCAGGTTCTGTGGTAGTCGGACCAGCTCGGGCCGCGAGGGTAGCTAAGAACTCTCGAAGACTTGTACATTCTGAGGTCACGTGCTGTTGGATTTCGAGCTTCACTGTCCGGAGTCGCATTTCAAATAGGATTCTAGGGTCCAAGAACAGCTCTTCCACGTCCCCTCTGGTCAGGCCAGGTGCAAATGTTCCTACGGCTCTTACTTGCGTTGTGCTCCGTCGCTCTAGAAAAGGGTCTCGTGGTGGCCGAGGTGAGGAAGAGGCACCCCTAGCTCCTCCACGGGTGTCCTCACTGGCGCTGGAGCCCTCACCGTTAGACTCGCCAG